AGCCTTTTAAATTGGCCTAATAGATGTGTATTAGGTCTCCATTGAAATTAATTGATTGCCTCTTGTTTAAATAATTTTTGAATTACCGGGCGTGCACTTTCTCTCCTGTCACACCACAGGCAGCTAGCAGAAACCAGTTGACGCCCCTCGGCTGGCTACCCAAACACCCCCTCCCACCCCCAGACCACCCCCTGCGCCTCCTCCCCTCACACACCGGCTCGCAATCACCTACCCACCCAGCCAGTCACCTCAAGTGCGGCCGGCCGGCAGGAGCTGAGGAAAAACAAACAGACCCGGAGCAGCCAGGGCGAATCTGCCGCGTGTTTTTGGCTCAGCATAGAAACACCGGAATACCGGAGGAGTATGGGACCCTGGTGCCTGGATCAGGACTGAGTCTGGTCGGCACACTGAGAGCTCCTCAGACCCGCTTTCAAGTCATTTTCTCCCGAAACAGAGTTACGTTTTCACCGCTGACACAATGGGCTGCTGCAGCGGACGATGCACTCTTATCTTTTTCTGCACTTTACAGCTGGTGAGTTGAACCACACTTCTTCTGAAGTTTTAACTTAAGTGTTAATGTAAAATATGTTGAAGGGTATAATAGGCTACCTTACAATGAAATCTCTATGTCTTTTAACTGTGAAGTGGCCCACGTTGTCATTAAAGTATCACATGTTGACAAACTGATATCAGGACATGTTTTATGTAGGCTACTACCTTTTAAAAGTTCTGTAACTCACATTAAGAAAAAGTCTCCTCGTTTTTTAAATGCTCTATTATACTTCATATCTTGACCCTGGATTAATGGGTTTGTTTCCATAATTCAAGTAGGCTAAGTGGGGGAAATTCACTGTTGTGAGAGAAAACATAGAGCTGTTGGTGTTAGGACACAGCTCTCCTCAGCTCTTACAGCCTTAAGTATTGGCACAGTATGGGGGTGCACTGTGCTCAGTGATGCATCATGAATAGCATTTAGCAAATGTAAGGATTTGCCCTTTTGAATATTGTAATTAATACCATAAGTCACCATCGTGTAGTTCTGTGAGGCGTAAGCTAATTATTCGAAGCCCATGTCTGCATTTCAGATTAGTATTCTGAGTTGCTGCCGCCTTATGATGTAAAACATAAAAAAGTCGCCTAATACATAAATCCCCTCTCTGAACTAACCATCTAAGGACTTTGTTCATCAAGACCTCAACCCGGCTGTATTATGGGGGGTGTTGATCCACAAAGCATTTCAGTTTCTGATCAGTGAAGTGTGGATTGTGACATTTTACTGATGGTAGCTGTGCAGTCTCAGACAATGCTTTCACATTGACACACAGGCCAGCGTGCCTCTGCCACCATCCCTGGGTAGAGTTTACTTGACAGGGTGTGACAATATTATTTATGGTGGTATTAAAACTGAGCCTACTCACACCATAAGCCCTTCGAGTAAATGTCGATGTATTGTGTATTGCATGAGTGAATCCAGAAATAAAGAAACATGGAAGACATAACGGAAGGAAAGCGTTTGATAGGAAGAGGGCAGTCGGTATCAGTCATAACTGTCTTAAAAATAAACGACTCACCCCAGCCCCTCCCGTTTATTAATACTGAATTCCCCTAAGCCAACATCGCATAACCCCTTCAGAGTTCTCGCGGAGAGTTACTTGTTTCTGGCTACACACTGTCTCAAGTTCATACACAAAAAATGCAGGAGGCTGTTCATTCAAAATGGACCCATGCCTATTGCCTACAGTTTAAATACTTTTTAAGAGGGAAACGATAAAGACAAGAATTTGACTCCGTTCCTGTCTTGCTGTCATTTGAATGACTTCCTACCACCTCTGGCTGTAGTATCCTGCTGCCCTTTTCCCGCCTCATGTTCAAAATTGATGTTGAGAATTTGTGCCTGTGTCTCTGTAAGTTTTCAGCTCTGTCAATTTATTAAAGCGTGAGAAAAATGAACATTTGACAATCTGTTTGTGACTAATATATAGGTCACAATGGCCTCAGAATTGCTCCCTTGTTAAAATGATGTCTCTCTCTGAACACACACACACACACATACACATACACATACACATACACACTCACAGACACGCCAGGCGCTTCAACCCACCTTGAGGGGCACACCTGTTTTCCCTTGCCTTTCGGACCTCTTTCTCTCATTAGAGAGAAGGAGGTCGGCCATTTGTTAAGAGGTTTATAAAGCTG